AATATTTTTATTACATTGTAAAATACTGGCGCAATATTCGGAAATAATGTAAATCTAGCATTTCCAATATTGGTCCAATATTGTAAGATGGACGCCTTCTCTTATTTAGCCAATGTGTCTATATATTTAACAATATTGATTTAATAATGTGTTAATATTAGACCAATATTTTTATTACATTGTTAAATATTAGCCAATGCACTTCCAATATAAATCTAATATTATATATTTGTTTAATTATTGTTTATTCCATGACCAATATTGAAATGGTCCGCTTTTCGTTGGGACGATATCAGCCAATGCATTTCTAATATGACCAACATTGGACCAATGTTTAGCTACGGTGCTACTAGGGTAGCGACGCAGTCGACGAGCATCGGACTCTTTTGAATCCCCAGCGAACAACGACGATAAAATGATCAATTTGTGCCGGTAAATGGAACGCACCGTTTATCTTACGAAAAGGAACTTCGCAAAGATGAGGGAGATAATTCATATACATATTTCCACATTAGCGATTCACTGGCTCCCCTAGTAGCACAGTGCATTAGCTAAACGTTGGCCCAACACAACCAAATATTGGGCCAATGTTTAGCCAATGTTTGTTCAATGCACTGTGCTACTAGGGTCGTATTCTGAATTCCCTCCTTAAAAGTGGCTCGCAGCCAATCAAGGGCTCGATCATAAATCTTTTCTTCTAGCGTGAACTCGTGAAATGTGGAGGAAACTTTCATTGAAGAATTTCACTACCTAGTCGTCAATGAAATTTCTCACGTTTCACGAATTTTCGCCGGAGGAAAGGATTCATGATCGAGCCCTCATTAAGGCTCATTAGCCGCTTTTATTGATAAAAGAGGGTCCAGAATACGGGACACTGTCTTTTTTTAGCTCGAACGAGAAAAACCGTCCGCGATGTTATTAAGAAAACGTTAAAAACGCGCGCGGCAACCTGCGTATCTCGCAAACGCTCAATTTCGAAGCAGCCGCGCGCGCCGCTCGGTGACGATACCGCGCCGATGAGAATCGACCTTGACGATTACATAACCTCCGTCCTTGCTCCTTCCGCAACGCGGTTAAATCTTATCCGACGTTGTTGGTCGCCCGGGCGGTTTTCAAATTGAAGAAAAGAGATGCGGCACGGGCGCCCGCACGAGCGAGTCTTCGCAGATAATCAAGTCTCGTCGTCTATCGCCGAGAGAGCACACGCGGCATGCGCCGCACATAACCTCAACGTCGACGGGTCGTCCTAACTCTCATAACCTCCGAAAGGAAGGTGAAACCGCCTCCGATTCGCGCGACAAAGAGATAATAATAAAAAAAAAGGAACAGGCAGACGCGAGCAAGGAAATGTCTCACTTACCGTAAATCCTCGGCCATTTGTGGACGATTTCGGTTTCTCGTGCGATCACGAGGGAACGTACGCCGAGGATGGTCCGCTACGATTGCGAGGCGCGCCACCGGTGCTCTCTCCGCTTCTCGCGCGTGGAAACGCGAGAGATCCAATGACATCGGCCGCCCGCGGCCGCTTTGAAGGAGCCGCTTCGCCGCGGAGCAACATTATCGCTAATGTCATCGCGGTGACGCCACGAAACCCGGGGGGAGGGGCCGGGCGTTATCTGAGAACTGTGGAGCGGGACCGCAACTAAGCAGCCTATGTTAATTTGCAATAGCGAACGACGCTGTCATTGAGGGCTATTTCAGTTAACGTATGTAAATCCGCCTCCCGCGTACGCGAATAATCGGAATCTTCGCGGCATTCTCTCGCACTCGATATTCAGACGCGAATATTATCTTAAGTTTGCGCTTCCGAGGAGCGAACCGTAGCGAGACCTAATGACATGCACGTACAAAAACAAGATAACATTTAAGCGCGATACGCTCGTAAAGTTTCTCAACAGCGTTGCGTCGAGAAAAATGCAAACTGACTGAAGAAATAGGGATCAGAAATGAAGCTGTAAGATCGTTTATTCCAGTAACACATAGTTTTGATTGGATTCTCCTGGACTCGTTTTTCTCGATGTCGCACAGTCGAGACTCGTGTAAAAGAAAATCTTTCAATGTGCACGTGACAACTTCGACATCTCAGGTTGACGAGCGACAGGTCTCTTTATTGCTCAATTACACGCTGAATACTTTGCCACTAGACTTGGAAAGTTTATCGTCGAACGGAGCGGCGACATCCTGTAACATATATTTCAACGAGGCTTTATTTGCGGCGCGACTTTGACCCTTCGCGGTAATCCGGTGACGGGACTGGACAATAACGAGCTAGCTTTAAATGTCTTACCTATGGAATCTTACTTACCGTTGCGTGTTTACATCTAAAATAGCTACTAGCGGTAGAATCGCACGAAAATATCAAGCCCTCTCACTGCATACTAAATCGCGATACCAAGAGCGAGAAATCATGTATTTTAATGCAATTGAAACAGTTTAATTCTCTTTCATTCTGTCCCATACAGCACGCATGTCTAAAAGATATCTTTAAGTCGTCTTTTGGATATGTATGTCTAACTTAAAGATGTCTTTTAGACATGCGTGCTGTATGCGATCTTATCTGACGATGAAATATATTGAAGAATTTATTAACGTGTTGAAGAACCTGTGATGCTCGAAACGCGTCCACTACTATTTAACAATGTACATCTTACCATTGAAATATATGTATTTTAATTTTTCTTTATAGCTAGATAGGTCGTTTAAATTAGTAGCCGTTGACCTTAGATTTATTATACAGGGTGTTCCAGAAGGAAAGGTTCATGTTCAGGAAGATGATAGTATCGGTCATTTTAAGTAAAAATGTTCATGTGAATATATGTTCCATTCCCCACTGTTTCCGAGATAGAGCACATTTGGTTGACGTCCCCGTTCAGATAAAACATGGCACGCGTTCTACTTTCACGCAATGTATTGAAAACCTTGAAAAACACTTTATGATCTGGAATTCTGCGTGTAGGAAATCGTCGACAGTATTCAACAGAAACCGTAAATGTACAGCATATCTGCATATTCGACATTTGTGAATATACGAGGCGTTTTGAACGTTTCTACAATGTTAGCACAACAGTCAACAGACGTATAAGAATAAATTCCCGCAGACGTTTATGAGGTTGGACGAGTGTTGGTCTACAACCTTGCTTTCAGTAAGCTGTAAGCCTTAAGTCGTAAGAAATTAATCACAGGTGATAGTGAGGGGAATAAATGCCTGTGATTGCTTAATTTCTCACGGCTTAAGGCTTACAGCTTACTTAAAGCAAGGTTGTAGACCAACACTGAGGCCGGGTTCTACAATAGGTGTAGTAAGCCTTAAGCCGTAAGAAATTGATCAATCACAAGCGATTATTCTCCTCACTTCAGACTGTGAATAATCAATTTTTTACGGCTTAAGGCTTACTACACTTATTATAGATCCGGTCTGAAGGATGAAGTGTACAGGAAAAAGTAAATACACGAAACATTCAAGTAGCTCTATCTCGGAAACAGTGGGGAATGGAACATATATTCATACGAACATTTTTGCTTAAAATGATAGACACTATCACCTCCCAGAATATTGACCTTTCCTCCTGGAACACCTTGCATATAGAGAAAAGTCCTCTATTGTGAGATAGGATTCCAATACGAGATAGCAGGTTTTCAACGTCCATGACAACGATTACACGATCTAACAATCAATTTTCCACTAAACAGATTTTACTCCGAGAACAATAAATTTATCTGTTGGTGGAACCAACAGATGACGCCCATTAATTTAGCAGAAACTCCGCTATCTCACATTTGGAGCCTCTCTCATAATAGGGGACCTTCCTCTATTGAAGAACTTTCGATTCGTAGATTAAAAGCATGTCTTAGATTGAAGGTTTTGACTTCACGGTTCATTGTCATTAAGAGAATACATGACTATAGATTATTCAGTTATACAACAAAGCGTTTACGGACGTGCCTTCAGAGGAAAATCTTTTCTTGTTCTTAGATCCTAAATTTATACATTTTAAGTTAGATCTCGGATACATGCAACTCAAACTCCTCGTATATTGAAAAAAGAAATTTGCCCATGTAGTTTACCGAAGTACATTACCGAATGCAAGTGGTAACACGCTAAAGAAAATTGCAATTAATCTCGGCACGCAATTAAAAAGAAAATGATCTCTCGCTCCTGACCATGATTTAATATAGTTGCAATGAGAAATGAAACGTTTTAAAATCCGTAAAGGTAGTGATATACTAGAACCGCTTCCAATGTAACAGACGAGAAATAAACGGTAAGAAAAACATGAGAATCACTACCGCGCGAATATAAGAGCAATTTCAGTCTCCGAGCAAGATTAAACAGAAACGTACAAACGCGGTCGACGTCACATTCACGGTACTCGTTCGTTAAAAATTGCCCCGGATCAAAAGCGTCCGATATCTCTCGAGATTTTACAGGGATCGCAGCACGGGGAAAGTACTCGCTCTTACGATACCTTCGTGCTCCCGCCTAGCGGAGAGAAACTCTCGAGAATCCGCCCTAGGGCGAGATTCGGTGTGTGTGTTTGTGTCAAGCACATGTCGAGCTCACAGATTTGTCCGGCGCACCCTACGGAAGAAGAGGATTCCTCTCGTAGAGACGGCCTCTCCCTTAAGAAGCGCCGCTTCTCCTAAGAAAGAAAACAGGACTCTCAAAGGCGGGCGGAACACACGGGGTGAATTAACGTGTCGCACGTCTGTTTCTCTTATCTTTATTACTTTTATTGTTTTTTTTTCTTACGCGTGTGATACCGGGGGTTGCTGGAGCCGCGTCTTGGATGCGGTAACGCAACCCCGCCGCTCACTACTCGAGTGTACATCTCTGATTCCACCCTCTCCCGCTCTCCTGCCACGTCGTTACAGGCTGTGATGGACAATTACCTCTCGCTACACCCCACGTCGCTCCTCCGGCCAGACTACTCGCGTCGCTTCTACTTGAAGAAGCCCTCTCTCGTCTCTCGAGCCCGGCTCGCTCCTTCGAGGGTACATCCTTCATGGACGGCGTAGAGGGCTATCATCGCGTCCTATATCACATATCATATTACAATACAGCGTGTTACAATCCCTGCTGTCGCGTTTCTATCGGTTTTGCGCTTTTTGTTTCCGTTTTTTTTTTGCAATGCGGCAACCGACGATGACCGACACGTGTGTGATCGTTTTCTATCACGCGAGATCAAGGGGGTAACCCGTGTGTCCCGACGACGTGCGTCCGTATATTTTTTCCCGTTACATATGTACATGTATTTTTCTCGGGTTGTTGCGCCGACCGTGTCTCTCAAAAATCCGGTGCACGGATCCGATCGGCGATTCACGATCTCCACGTGTCTCAGAGCGAGACCTCCGCCGAGAGGGACTGGGTTATATATTTTTGTTAAATCTTTCTAAGCGCCTGCGAGGGTCTGTGCCGGCGCGTGTCCGAAATGTATCTCAGCGATCTAGCTACAGAGACTGGGCTCGGAACTTGTCATCTCGTTGAGCTTCTCGGCGGCCAGCGTGTCCCGAACCGTTTTGCAACTCGGGCTGCGTGACTTTATTTACAGACGACGTTGACGGCGGCGACGGCGACGGCGACGGCGACGACAGCGGCGACTGCGACGAGGGCGGCGACGAAGCTGACGGCGACGACGGCGACGACGGCGATGACGAAGACGACGACGACGACGACGACGAGCCGGAATCTCGCACGGCCACGTATGGGCTACGAGAGCGAGGCTGCGACCACCGGCAGACCATCGCTATCCGACGACTAGTCCGGCGGCACCGACATTACCGTAAATCCTCGAGAGGCAGTGTACTTGCACTACAGCGATACATCGCGTATCGAATATATCCGACGAAGCTCCCCGGTGTGCGTGACGACTCCATGCTTCCCGAGTCTTTTTCTACTCCCGCACGCGTGTGCTATACGCGCGCGACCTGGTATCGCAGATAGATTTTTCCCCGCGTACCCGCATCAACGAGCCTCGAGCCTCGTCAAGCTACGCCAAGCCTACGTATCGCGGGTCGGGGGTTCACCTAAGCGGGTGCCAGTTGCGGAAGGATAACGCCAAAAAAAAGAAAAAAAAAGAAAGGAAGGGAGTATGAAGTAAGACTGTCTCAAAACCAGTTGTAGGAGAAAGCGTTATTTAAATTTCTTAATATTTCCGAATTTTGATAGTCTCTCCAGCCTTTGTAAAAATATTTTAAAAAAATTGAAAACTCAAGTCCAAGACACATTGGTCCATACCCTGAATCTTCTTTTATCGCTAAAAGTGCCACTAAAATCGGTTTTGGAAGGATTCTCGTTGGATGAGAGAATCTTTCGCGGGTACTCTTACCGATAAAAGAGGATTCAGAGTGTGGGCCATTAATTTTCCGAGGTCTCGATAAATGAACCGGGCTCTTCAAACCGAGCTTCGAATTACGGGATGTACGTTGGTTCTGAGGCATCTTGTGTACGTTTCTCGTCGACGAACATGCGCCAGGGGTCTCCCGATCTCGACGAAACGGTTCCGTGCATTGGTACGGTGAAGCCAAAGTTAACGGGCGTCGACGTACTCGCTATGCACCGATCAAACTCGCAACTCTTGCGACCGAGCCGACGGGAGAAGGTCCGACCTCCTCTCTCGCGTCAACTTAGGGTTTACAGATCGGCCGACCTTTCTCTCTTTTCTTTCCCGGTTTCGGAATAGTCTACGTATTATCGGACAGCAGTTTGCTCACCACATCTCAGTACGGAGAGATGATCGAGTAGCGTGCCTGGTTCTACACGTTCGTGTTCCAAAGTCACTCTGAGAGAGGCCCGCTCGGTTATCTCCGAGGACACTGCGCGAGGTCTCTTAAAGTAACTTTGGAGGGGAAGAGTGACTGCATATAAGCTACAGAACGTGACCGGTCGCCTCTGCCTTGCCGCTCTGGTCGGGTGGAAAAGCGATCTCCAGCCAAGTCCGATTCTGTAGACCTGCTCAACCTCCGAGTCTGCAAGTTTGACTGGCACATAACAATGAATATTACCATGTACATACCGACAAAAAAAATCGGGTTAAGGTATATAAAAAAAAAAGGAATATTTACTCCGTCATCTATTTACATTTACTTTCGCTTGGTACCTCTGGAAGTAGCTTTAACTTTGGCTTTGATCGAAAGTTCGTGTAGGTGAACGAATAATCGCACTACAAATATGTGAATGCAGGCGAAAGAATGGCAAATCTTTCCGTGCTTACGGAACAGGGACAACAAATTAACTGAGAAGGAAGAAGGAAGTTGGCGATCTGTAAAAGTCGCGTCGGCAGATCAAACGTTCGAATCTACAATTGTTTAAATATTAGATGACAAATATATTTTGAGCACAAGATTGAATTTAAGGATCGAAGTACTTCCTTCCTCGTCCCAGTTTGAATTTCAGTCTACAAAACGATACAATCGTTTTCGACGGACAAACTCAGCCTAGTTCGAGAGAGCCAGCCAGAAAGGGGTGAATTCTCAGTCACAATTCAAGGAGACGTCGTTCGCACGTGTTCTGACGTTTATTAAAAAAATGAAAACTTGCAAAAAACACACGTAAGTGAGTCACGTACAAAAAAAGAATGTACAAAACAGGACCTCATCTCGTTACTAACGCGAGAGGGGTGCGTAGCAGGCTTATCGGAATCCGATATTATTTCCCGGCGTTCACTTGGATTAATACGTATAGAGGGAGAATTAGTATTCCACGTCCGTGTATGCGTGATGAAGCGACTTATTCGCGCTATATGCTAGCTCGTGCGCGACCACCTCATCCGCGATGCCAATTGGTCTGAAAACATCAGTCATACAACGAACGATTTCACTTAATGTTCGGTGGATCTCGCTAAGACGGCCCTTAATTTTTTAAGACAGTGCAGAGATAGAGGAAGCAGGGGCCGAATTCGCCATAATCTCGAGACCTTCAGCTTCCGATGCCGCAGGCAGGGAAACAGTCGTGCTGTTTCCCGCGTCTACAACGTCGAAACCTGAATTTTACGAAGCTACAACGCGTCGCGATCCTTGCTTTCGACTACTGAGACTGAAACAAGCAATTACGAAACGGAAGAGGAAAATAAAGAGAAGCAGACACGCCTAAAATTATGATCGTCTTAAAAACGAAGAAGGGAATCGACGTATCAATTTGAGTAGATCGCTTAACATCCGATACGAATGAAATTGTTCGCAAAGTAATAAAATGACATAAACGTGTAAAGATTTTTCGAAGAACTTAATGAGAAATTATAAGATTCTCTCAGTACCTTCAAATTGATTTCTTTGCTTTAAGATCGAGATCTACAGGAAACGACAGCAGAATTCAGAAGCCCCATTACTTCGTAGATTCAAAACGACAAAATGAAACACGCGAAGGATATCTACGGAGTAAAGAGGATGCTACAGAATCATCGAATAATCCTTTTAGACGAGCCGAGAAAATATACAAGTGTCATGAATATGGTACAAAAATTATAGCAATTTCAGACTAAAAAAATGCCTTGAGGCAGTTAACTAAATAACAAAAAGTTCAATTCTTTCTCAATCTTAAATATTGTCGACACAAGAGATTTGACGATGTCAAATTCAAAAACACACAAAATATAAAGCGTGATACTTTCTTATAAAAGTTTATCTACGTTAAAATCGACCCTTGGTGGTCCTCTTGTCAGCGATTCCGGAACATCCTACACGTTTACGCGCGTATGCGAATGCGGATACCCTTTCATCGCGCGATCAATTTAAATTTCCCCACTGGACGTTCACCACGAGGGAACCGTGAAATCCGGGAGCACAGCGACGCGATCGACGCACGATTGCGTGCCCGACAAGCGCGAAAAACGTTACGTCTCACCGTACACGCATCTCGTATTCACTTTTCCCACCCTATCGAGAATAAAATGTGAAAATGAAAGAGGCTCGAGAAGAGTTTGCATAACAGAACTGAGAGGAAAGAAGTGGTCATCGAGACGGGACTGTGCACACGTGAAATAGTCCTCGACATATCATGGAGAGATACTAATTTCTAGTGTTACATTGACGATACAGTGCAACGTCTCTTTAAATCAGGCTGTCTAATCAAGAAACGATTACTCACGTATATGTGCAATTAAGATTGAATAACGAATAATTTGATTAATTAATTTAACCGTGACTCTGATCCAAGTCACTGATGACAAGCTGGTGACTAATTCACCTTCGATCTATATCACTAGGCAAAGTTATTCGACGGTCCATTTACATACACGATTAAAACATATCGTTATTATTAAAGAATTGCACTGTATCGCAATGAAAATACAGAAAGGTAGAAGCGGTTCGAGAGTTTCCCGATGCAGAAAACATCGTAGAACTCTACCTGTGGATCGACAATTAGACTTGTGAAGGGATGGTACAAGGGTGGCAGCAAAGAGATATAGAGAATAACACGAGCGAACACGCCGCGTGCGTTTTTTTAAAACCAGTGCGGAGACGCGCGCGCGACGCGCAGGAAGCCAGCGAAGGGAGCGCGCGTCCGATCGTACGCGATCAAGATTTTCGTGGTGCGACAAGGGAAGGGGTCGGGTTGAGTTTTGGGAACAGTTGTCGTTGTTGCTGGCAAAGAGGTACGTCGCGAGAGAGAAAGAGCGGTCGGTGTGATATAATTAAAGAAACACGCAGTACACGTCGTTTTTTTCTTGTGAATTTCACAAATACATGTTATTACATTTCTCTTATATTCAGCATCAATATTAGCAATATATCGTGTGGTTATAATTTATATAATCTTTAAGAAAAAAAAACACGGTCGGTTCTCAGCAAAAAAAAACAAAAAGCGTAGACGATAGAGAAAGAAAAGCTTACAGCAAGTCTCTACGCACGAACAAAACGGAAGTGCGATTATTACAGACTACAGCACGTCTTTTGTTTTTACGTCAGAGTTAATCCTACGTTAATAAAAAGATTATGTTGGTATACGCTAAGAATAAATGTTCCGCCACTTGGGTTTCCATACAGAATCGGCGCATCCTACCGGGTCTAAGTCCAATTATAACTCTTTTGTTTTTGCAGAGAATGAAATAGCATTGTAAAAACAGTTTTCTACTGTTAGACCCGCATACTACCCCCCCTATTTGGGGAAAGACTTCGGCGAACGCTTCTTTGTTTTTTTTTTCTTTCATTAAGCGCGGTCTACGTCTTCTCGATGCACCTCCGCGAATACGCTAAAGTCGCAGGTCCTTTAATTTACACCTATACGTGCAATTATCCGTGAAAAATTTAAGTGCCACTTGGCGTCGCGTAGACTCAACCGTTATCGAAAAAGGCCTATTTCTCGATTCAAAAATTGACAAGAGTTACCCATAAACTATTCTTTCCCCGCGTTTGTTTGAGGAAATCGCATCACGAATCTACTGAATCAATCCGTAAACGTCTAACTAGAACAAATGCCGAATCTCACTGATACAATGTTTTTTATAAAATAACTTGACGTCTTTAAAATATTAATTGTACTCTACATTTTACAACTGCCATTAAAATTCTGCAGAAAAGTACCATTTTAACGAGTCAGGAATCGAAGAGCGAATAAAGAGAGAGAAAACAAAAGAGCTCGATTCGGGATACGTGGGCGATAGCTCGACAAAATATCTTGAACGCGTTAGATTTTACAATTTTTTTTCCCGCGATGATACACACACTCGCGTTTCACGGATAAGAATTTCATCATTGACTCTGTCATGCGCTTATAAAGGCAGCATACTACCTTTAACGAATAGATGTGTAAATTGGAGAACCTGCGGTTTCAGCGTGTTCGCGAGATACACGAACGATCGTTAAGATGCATCCCCGAGTGTGTGCAAGCGCACGTGCACACGTAAAGCGATAAAGCGATCTGGACTTCCCCGACGGACTAACCGCGAGTACCGCTCTCGGACATCACGAATGCTCGCGCTACTCCCGAACATCCTCGGCGGACATGACGCTGAAGAGGCCTCCCGGGTCTGATCTACCTGCCTTGTACCGTCTATCTCTGACGCGCGACGACGCAGTCGCGTGAAGGGGGTCGACGGCCGACAACGGCGAGTCACGAGTTCTCTGCCCAACGTGCGCCGATTACAGTGGTATCACGCAGTGACGCCGAGCGATTGTTACCCTCTTCCAGCGGTTCCCGCGGGTAGATAGGTCCGTAACGGGCGCGATCACGGTTGTCCGATTGCGCAGCGGAGGGGTGGATGCGATCATCGTCACAGAAAACCCGAGAACGATTCGACCGCTGCGGGGATACGACCCCACCGGGACGCTCGTCGATCCTGAATCTTTTTTTTTTCCTCGTAAATTGCAAGAATTCATGCTCGAGCCCTCGGGTCCAAGCGAGTGGATTTTGAGGGAGGAAACGACGCTACCTGCCGCGAGGATCGAGAAGTGTTCGCGGTGGGGCCGCATCCCCCTGCTGACACGTCGAAGATACCTGACTTTATACAAATGTATGACGAAGGGAAGGGTGCGAAGTGGTCAAAGTGACGATAAGAGACACGAAAGGATCGATAAGCCGGGAGTCTCGGTGGGAGATACGAAGGATTCGTCGGATGGTAATTTCTGCGTGCCTCTGCTAGTTTCGGCTGGCTATACTTGCTTTGCTCTATCTTTGTGTTTCGGGAGGTTTATTTTTTTTCCGTCTAAATAGATCGCATTGCGGGTAGAGCGCTTGTTTCTCATAGAGCGGGCGGCAGATCTTCACGCGTGCAGTTCGCAAGACGGCCAAGAGTATCTCGGTTCCGAGGCTTCCTGCTAGCGACAGAGACCCGACGGACAGACGACCGACAGAGACCGATCCGAGCCCGACGCGACGATTTAGTATGGTGCGAACCGGCGCGACGGCGATGGCCCTCGTAATCCCGGTCTGGTAATCAAAATTATGTCACGTCAGTCACGAGATCGGTAATGCGGATCAAAGCACGGGACAGATAGATTGTAAATGTTAAAAAGGTATCTGCGTGGTACGAGAGAAAACAGAAGACAGAGAAATGTAGAGTAACAGAGCACGTACGTAGAGTGAAATATCGTAAATAGTAATGAGAGAAGGGGGGGGGGGGAGAAAGATGAAAAAAAAATCAAGAAAAGGGGGAGCGGACATACAGCTCGGAGTATACCTCGTTTTTCTCGCTAAACCTTTTTACCGAATCTTTCGTTTTACAAGAGGAATTATTCGGGTTAAAATTCTTCGTATCCTTCGGGCGCTCTTCTTTACGAAAGATCGCGTTTCGAAAATATCATTGCGATTGTTTGATCAGCGGAACGAGGTGAAGTGTTTTGTTTTTTCGACCGCGTGTTCTCGATCTATGTAAATTTCATGCCACTAATCAGCGGACTCGTCGTATGGAATAAAGTAACGGAGCATTCCAAGATGCATTGACAATAATGAAGATTTATAGTTCGCTTTCCGTATGCTACAGATTCTCAATACTGTCAGTACAGTTTGGAAGCTATTCTATGACAAGAGCGACAAAATGACATCATCGAGGCGATGATCTTTATCTTCTTAAGGCGCAAAGGCGTTGGCTCGGCACGATCGTGACATAAAGAAGAGGGCGGCTCAGTACAGTTTCTAAATCTCGCGGCATGAGGATTTCGTTTCGGGCGTGGTAATTATGACCCAGTGGCACTTCACTCTACTTACCTACGCTCTTCAAACGAATCTCGGCTGAAGTCCTCGTACATGCCTCTACTATAACAGCGGTATAATAAATAATCGAATCTACCAATGAGATCAGATCAACATATACCATAATACTGGCTCCCTTGTCCAAGGCTTAACTTTGTGAATTAGTCCCTGTATATACATATATTCACGTGCAAGATTCGCGTGCCTCGCCTAATATGACTGTCGACTTGGGATCGGGACGGAGAAATGTTTTTTTCGTGCCTATTACGCTACCTCGAAAGTCCGGGGACAAGAATTGTAGTAGACGAGGTGGTAATACGCAGGTTGAGTTATCAAGCGTGCTGTGAAATTTGCTATACCTCTGTTACGTCGAACACACACACGCACACATGCACGCCCGCGGGCGTGTACGTGCGAAGAAAAAAATTTTGAGCGTTCACCGAAAAGTGGACTCGACGAACCTTCGACGATACACGATTCGTTCGCAGACACGAGCGCAGAAACGAAATGGATGATTAAACAACTACAAAAAAACCTACGACAGCGAAGTGCAAACACAGCTATTTGTACTAATTCGCTATCTGTACAACTCGACCGTGAAGTGGAGAGCCGATGAGGATAATGTAGGATGTGTGGCTAGTCATATGAGGCAGGCAGCGGTAGACTGGATTTTTAACCCATGCGACTTGTCAATATCACAGCTTCTCGCAAGGAAAAAAAAAACCAACAAGAGTAGTATCATAAAAAATAAGAGCCACTTGCAGCCCAGGCTGGGATAATATGGGGTAATGAGGTTGGTAACGTGCAACAACAAATTCAAAGTATTTAGAAAAACTGAGAAATTCAATCAATTCTGTTTTCTATTTGACGTTTTGCGAATGGATTTACATACATGAAAAGCTTTGAACCTCGTGAGTAGAAGTCAACTTCAAGAGCTATGGACTGCAATTTTGAAAAGCACGGAAAAACTCGGGGAATCTCTTCGCGACATTTTTGTCACCATTTGCCTTCTCGCGGAACTGCGATTCGAACGTAGGACAATTTTCCAGCTAATGACTTAGTAAGATAATTTTCGTTTGCTACCAATTTCAAGCGTATGTGAATCTATCTGCTGATACAAATTGAAAATTTTCTATTCAACGTAATTGTCTAATGCAAAATAACAACAGCGATTGTTGCGAATTAAAAAATTTAATCTGATATTACAACTGCAAAATATGTACCGCACAAGGAAACAAATCTACAACATTTGATCGATGTTAAAAAAAAGAAAGAAAGAAAAATATATTCGGCGATTCACTTAATTTGAGAATACTTTTAATGCCATCAACATAATATTCTTGTTAAATTTGACGCCAGTAGTTGCTTTTTTACTATCAGAGAAATAGTATGAGATTGGAAATAATAAAAGAAATAGTGTTTGCGCATCGGAGAGATTGAATCGAATTCCAATCGAATCGATGTTACAAGCTTATGTTCGTAAGTGTGCGACTGGACTTGGAAAGATTGACGGGAGACGCCGATATAAACTTACTGATCCAAATCGTCTGGAGAGCTGGTTTCTACTTACGACACGTTTCAAAGACAATCGATTCGATGCGTCATTCCAAAATCGCGCCAGCCCTGTTTGTTTTTTCTTTCTTTTCTCTATCTACAGCGTACGAGAGTTTTGTTTAAAATTGCCGAGCGCATCCTGGCTCGCGGTAGTGCGATCAAGAAATTCTAATTCGCATTCCTTAGGTACGTTTCTTCATCCCAGGCCTCCGCGCCACTCCCGGCTGAGTGATGTACGTAATAGGGAGCGCTTGAAACACAAAGGATTCAGTGAGAGACATACAGGCCAATTTCGCAGTTAATGCCATGGAACAAGAGAGTCTATGAATTAGGACATCCCTAGAAGAGCAGTCGACATGTTCAAGGAACAATCAGTCGAGACCCGGAAAAAGATATTCGAATATACCATGGGACGCAGACGACGTAGGCGGCCTGCTATTGTATTTCTGACGCGGGTTTTGCTGTTGCAGCGACAAGAACGAGGCGTGACTACTCGCTAACAAAATGAGTCAAAGACTTACTCTTGTACGACTTGAACGCTGACCCGGGACTGTCTCTCTAGGGTTGCCCGCGTTCATGGACAAAGATGGTACGCCTGAGGTGCACTGAAATTTAGAATGTACAGAAACGTCCAAGCGTCATATAATTAACATTTCACTACGACGGAGTCTGCACTCATGTGGGCATCGGGTCGACACTGGTACGTGTGTAAAAGTATTAAAAGTCTTAAAATCTCAAGTACGAGAAAAGTAATATTTGCATTAGATGATAACGATCATGCGTTGTGCCGCGCGGTAACATTGTCAGAGAGGACAAATTCCGTTAAACATACGACGATAGAAAAGAAGACAGAAGTGATAAAAATAGAGAGATAGAGAGAAACAGAGAAAGAGAGTGAGGGGTGGCGGTACATTTAACAAAAAAACGACGAAAAGGACAGAGGTTTATAGTGAAGTGAAAATTGTAAATTTCGCGGTCGGCTTATCCACAACTTAACATTCGCTATTTCGTGGGAATAAAACAAACAAAAATAAGGAAAGATATACTGTAAGGAGATACAAGCTGAAATCTATATAAGAGAAAGAAAAATGTGCAACAGACTAGAACAAATGTCGACGAATCACCGAAACCCCAATTCGCATGAGCTGTTAATCCAGCCTGGAACGTTCACAATGTTAAGTCGGACGAATGGGCAGTCGGGTACGCCGGGTACCTACTCACCTGAACCGGCCGTTGTTGCCACTTGGAGGGGGCGATCGGCGGCTGAACATGCCATACTCGTTGCCACGGGAGAAGCCAGTGTCACGCATGGATCCCATACCTAGAGGAGGCATAGGAGGCATTGGGTCTCGTCTTGGTGGTAGAGATGGCATTGTCATTGGTGGAAAGTCTAGCCCGCACATGGTTGAACCCATGTCACTAGGCGCTGTCATACCCGTAAACCGCCTCTCGTAGAGATCCCTGGTGTCGTCGAAGCCGCGCCTGTCGTAGTAGCTTTCGTAATCCTGTTAACAGACGGAAAAAGACGGGAAAATTAATACGAGCAAGTCTTTTTTTTCCCCCCGCATACCATCACCCCACGCTACTCATCGACGCGACAGCCATTGATAGCGTGGACGATTCGAGCACACGGCGTATAATGTGTCAAGATGTTGACGGGAAGAACAGAAACTTACCCCAAAGCGGCCACCACCCATTAGCCGGTCCCGTAGGAACGGTGGTGGCGGCGGCGGAGGATATGGATCACGCCCGAACATTCGGTCTCTGTATCCGTTTCTATCTGGTCCACCACCCATTCCGCCCTTGGGACACTCCTTGGACCAGTGACCGCCTCGTCCGCATCGATAGCACTGCTCCGGGTCGCCCATGCCTGGCCTCTGTCGAACTCGACTAGTAGAGATCTGGACCTTCATCGGTTGCCCGTCCACGATTTGTCCGTTCAGCTCCTTGATGGCGTCGTTGACGTCGCCGGTCGCTTCAAGATGAACGAAACCGTAGTTCCTCACGATGTCGCACTCGACGACGGTGCCGTACTTGGCGAACAGTTCGCGCACCTGCGGCGCCTTGGTGTTGTCTGTGAGATTGCCCACAAAGATCTTGGTCGTGGGGGTGTTGGGCCCCTTGCGACTCTTGGCAGCCTCGCATTTTATCGGCTGCCCATGGACCATGTGCCCATTCAGATTTTGTATCGCATTACGGCCTGCTTCCTCATTCTCCATATGCTGCGCGAACAAACGCCGTCGTTATCAATCTTGATAAGTTCTACCGCCCGATTCTATCTGATCAAAGTATATTCGATTCGGTTGACACCGGCACTTACCACAAAGCCATAATTCTTTACCACGTCGCATTCCACGACCTTCCCGTACTTCTCGAACAGTGGCTTTATGTCCGCGTTCGAGGTCTTGTCGGCTAAATTACCAATGAAGATTTTAAACGTGCCAACGCTGCTAAAACCCGGCATTTTGCGGCTCGTGCAAGAACCTAACGGTCACAAACGTGTCACATGTAAGAACAGAAATACTCCCCCTCGTTCTCTTCCACGCAGTTTACAAGAAATTCGAAGGACAAATATAAAAAAATATATATACATTTCAGCTTAGAACTATCTCGCTCGTCATTTTCTCCTCTACGCATTCACCCAAATATTCCCCGAGAGACACGCGGTAAAATTCGTTCACCTTAAAAATACATTTAAAAAAAAAAGAACCACAATTATACCGCAATTGAGCCCATCTCGCGCTTGTTAGTTCTCTCCTACGAATTTACCAAAATATTCAACATTTCTCCCCCAAGAGATACGCGGTAAAACTCGCCCATCTTATCGCGATACGATGACTAATATCGGAACTGACAAGTTACACTGCGACTTCGCGTGACGTAGACAATTTGTTTTCCGCAACAGATAATCTTAAGCGAACATTGAAGTGCGGTTTCATTCGATTATCCGTTCGACGTGTCTCGCGCCGCCAATCCATTTGGCGTGCTCGTCCCCCCCCCCCTCCTCCCCCGCCATTTCACTCCGACGTAGACTCCGGCCGGCGTTTACAGACGCCCGCGCCGCACGGCGTCGCGTTCGCTAGAGCGAGGCACTGCCGGAGGAGGCCGGTTTAACCAACCGGCGAGCGTGCGCCTCGACGCCGCGGTCCCCTCGTCCGCGGGAGCTAAACGGATCTGATTAGCCGCGCGATATACGCGCCGCGGCAACTCGGCGATCGTGCGCGAGCACCGTCGGAATTGAATCTCAAGGTTACCCGCCCCCGAGACGCCGACTAAAGAACTGGTGTTGTATTATTTATTTCTCGAAACGGAGCCTTCCGCTCGCGACTCGCGCGCGAACGACCTTTGGCACGATGGCGCCCTTCCCGCGGCCAATCGAAAGGAAATGAGAGTGACGCGGCGATTGTTTGACTTCGATCCCGACGCTTCCCTTTCCACCATCTTGCCCCACGATCCCCTGGCGATTAATTCACGCGTAGCGCGCGCGCGCGCGCGACTCTAGAGCGCGTCTCCGCGGCTTCTACGAGCGCGTACCGCGATATCAGACTCGCTCGTATATACCGGGCCCTCCCCTTCTTCGTCCAAGGACGCCGCGCGGCGACGAGATCGTCGCGGCGATCTTCCGCCGCCGTGAAAGTACGTACCTGCGTCAAGCGCTCTTTGCGGCTCTACCGTGTCGGCGTGCGAGCGGATATTCTACAGTGGATCCGCGCGGAGTCGGCGAGAACGCACGCGATCGCGTAGGATGCGACGGAGACGACGAACGGAGCCTCGCCTAGCCTAGCCTCGTCGTTGGTGGACGCGTAGCAGCAGAACGATATCCGCAGCACACCGCACGCACTGAGAAAACGCGACGTTAGTAATGGCGTCCCGATCGCCGCGTCGCACGGAGCCGCCAGCGGTCGCGTCGCGCGTTCCGCAACCTATCGCGCGCCTGCCGGCGACGCGGCGATAGGCGCAGCCGGAGCGGCGCGGGCCAATAGGGAGCGCCGCTCGGCCGAGCGTCGCCGAAGTCGGGCGAGCCGACGGCGAACGGAGCCGGTTGAGCGCGGGAGAATCCCAACTGCGCTCCCCCCTCCCCCCTCCCGGCGGCGTTCCCCGCTGCCGCCTACAGCGAATCGTTCAATCGGAAACGCCGCGCTCTCTCTCGTGCGCGCGGAACGGAGCAGGAAGGAAAGAGCGAGCTTAAAGCCTACGGCACACGATACGATTTTTCCGTAAGGAATCCAGTAGGAAAAATAGTATCGTGTGCCGTTGGCTTAAATCCTGATTGGCTCTCGTAAGGAATTCAGTAGGAAAAATAGTATCGTGTGCCGTTGGCTTTAAATCAGGTGACTTAGGCCGGTATTCATAGTCTGTTCTTATATTTAAGATCGTCTTAAGTATACTCTTAATGTGTTTTTAACCAATCACAGAGCCGTATTAGGCTCTTAAGACAATACTTAAGACGATTTTGAAATAAGAATCGACTATGAATACCGGCCTTAAGGCTAAATCCTGATTGGCTCTCGTAAGCAATTCAGTATCAAAAAAGGTATCGTATGCCGTTGGCTTAACTGGAACGTTTCTTTCTGTCTGCTTACAAATTTTTGCACTTGATATCTTTGCCTTCTTTCTCTCCAATCCGAACACATGAATGCAAAAGCACTTGGAAATGTTTCTAATTTTTGCAATTGAAAGTTTATTTCGTTAAAATTAGATCCCAAACAAATGAAAGCTCAACGATTTAGCGAATATCGACATGCAGTGTACGGACTGTTTATTCACGATAATACTCTACTTGAACGCTCGATATTTTTAGGAATAACGTCGGCGTACGACGGGGCACCTTCATCCGCCGCTTTATTCATGCCGAATTTTCATGAAGCCGGCCGAAAAACAGCGAGTCATTTCCTCGATTATCATTTTCCGGGTTCGCAAAAGGAACAAGGCTATGAATTTTTAAAGCGCATCAGGCTGCAAAGCAGAAAATTTCTGAAACGTTTCTATACGTGTAATCAGCCGACGCCTAATAAAATTTGTACGGCAAAAACGGTACCCGAACTTCGCCGTCCGTTAAATCGAACTCGAGCCGTTGCTACGATCGAATCGAGCGGACGCGTTATTTTCCGAGCGATGTCATTGGTGGTCGGCCAAAAGTCGCGGATTACGCGGCACTTTTCTCGCAAAACAATGCGCAATAATTGGAATCTTGCCGAAAGGCGCTTGCGGCGCGTTACGCGGTATTATTAACTTCGGTGAAACGCACAGGAGATGCGACGCGACGCCCGCCGTTCGTCGCGCCGGGATTTAAGGATCCGTCCGACACGAGGCGTCTCTACTCTCGAAGGTCGCGAGCGATACGAGGTGCGGGCCGGGCGGTGGAAAATTACCGCGACGAAGCTTGAGCGTGTGGGAGCGACAAAGGCGGACGGCAGATCGCGTCGGGCGCGAGGAGGGCGTCGTCCCTCGTCGATAATTTCATTCTCGCCGCAGGAAACGCGAATCATCGTGATTTGCAGGTTGCCCCCCCCCCCTCCAGAGTTCGAATCCAAATACGAGTCTGGTACCGAGGGAACGCGAAGAAAGAAACGAATAAAGGGAGGCGCCAGGCTCCAGTGTCGTGCCGGGGCGACGCGCCGCGACTGTCTATTGTTCGCGCGTCCGCGAAATGTCGACGAGCCGAGCGGCCGACGGCATCTCCGATCGATGAACCGCGAGACCAATGAAGATACGAGAGTAAAGACTCGCCGGAAAAAAAGCGACGGATCGCGGAACCGGAGTATATCCGCGCGCGTCACGTCACGACGTCGCGAAGACCGCGGCGAAAGCGCCGGTCTATCTCCTCCTCCTCCCCCCCTCACCCCGCCCTGACAATGGAAGCGCGGCGATCGAAGCCACGGCAAATCTCGACGCGGCGGCGGGCGCCTCGCCCGATCCCCGGAGAGTCGCGCCTGACCGAGGAAGGAACGCTCCGGATTATCGACGATATCCGCTCGAGACGGACGGCGCGGGGCGATTCGGTCGCGGTATCCGCGAGACCGCGCGGTGTCACGGAGGCCGGCTGTACGGCGCCGGATCGAATCTCGAGCGGAATGCCGCGTCGAGCGGCTCGACGTGACGTACCGAGCTGTCCCCCCTAATCGCGCTCCCGCCGCTCGCCGCGCTCGCTCGTGCGCGGCCGCCGACGATCCCGGCGGCGAAGTGTGAATTGCGTTTTGATACTTACCAAGTCAGTGGTCCGTAAAACTACGCGATAGAACAGCACGCGAAACGGCACACGCTTCCCCGAGATAAAAGATGGCGAAACGGAAGTGTGCCCGGCGACGCGAGGAGACCGTCGCGTCTCTTCCTGCGCTGGAGCCACTGCCGCCAACTTAAATCCCTTTCCCCCTCCCCTTCTTTCGTGGCGAAGCGACCTACGGGTCTGTTCATACAAACTTGCGTATGTGCATAAAGCCTGTAGTTAATCCTATGTGCAAACCGTGCAAACTAAGCGTACCGTAAAGAAGAAGGTACATTTGTAATGTTATTTCCTAAAAGAAAACATATTTTAGATATCCCTGAATTATTTTTATACATCTTAAGCTGCGTTCAGAAACATCACCCGAATGCATAAGTCCCAGTCTACAATAGAGATTTAAGCCCTAAGCCTTAAGAAATTGACTAAGTCCCAGTCTACAATAGAGATTTAAGCCCTAAGCCTTAAGAAATTGACTAATCACAGTCGCGCATTCTACTCATACTTGACCGTGATTGGCCAATTTCTTAAAGCTTAGGGCTTAAATCTCTATTGTAGACTGGGACTAAGTTTGTGGGAATTTACACTCCATCCACTGTCTCCGATTATCCAATAGGAGAGTTCGTTTTCCGAGGCATCTGCTAGTCTCAAGTAGAGTCCTAGGTTGCGCGCGACAATAGAGATTTAAGCCCTAAGCCTTAAGAAATTGACTAATCACAGTCGCGCATTCTACTCATACTTGATCGTGATTGGCCAATTTCTTAAAGCTTAGGGCTTAAATCATCTATTGTAGACTGGGACTAAGGCCCGGTTTCACCAACGCGAGTTAATCTAATCGGTCGGTTAACTTGACAGGGTGCCAACATAAAACTTCTTTATTAACCAAGAAAATAGGTTAATAAAGAAGTTTTATGTTGGCACCCCGTTAAGTTAACCGACCGATTAGATTAACTCGCGTTGGTGAAACCGGGCCTCAGTGTATCGTTTCATCCTTGTTTAACATATAGAGAGCAACAAGGATAAAATGATATACAGGGACACTCGGGTGATGTTTCTGAACGCAACCTAGGACTCTACTTGAGACTAGCAGATGCCTCGGAAAACGAACTCTCCTATTGGATAATCGGAGACAGTGGATGGAGTGTAAATTCCCACAAAGTTCTGCTAAAGTCCCTAGAAAACGAACTCTCCTATTGGATGTTGGACGTCACACATCGCAGTGTGAATCCTACTTAATCCGATCCGAGGTAGGCTGATGGCAGACAACTATCCGTAAGCGCTTAAGACTGACGTAGCCGTAAACTTAAGGTAAGGCAGAGAAAAACATAAGCCGTAAGGAACACGTGTTCTACGGCTTATGTTTTTCTCTGCCTTACCTTAAGTTTACGGCTACGTCAGTCTTAAGCGCTTACGGATAGTTGTCTGCTATCAGCCGTAGGCTGCTCCGATATACTATAGTCAATAGTGAAAATCTATAGTTTACGTTACGTATACTACGCGACAATTTCCAATAGCAATATTAGTAAAGATTAGAATGCAACCGTAAACCCTACAGTAATCCGCGAGAATAGGATTAAAGATTATATTAATAATATAAATGGGTAGAACAAATCTGCAGCGATATCGTTAGAATATTATAAAATAAAGAACTTGCAAGAAAATGACTCGAAGCAAAAAGTTTTGCCTAATATATTATAACTATCTAGATAGTTCTAGATTCGGCGTTAATTATATTTCGACATGTTTTATAAAACATTACGTTGAAGCATTCTTAATTAAATTTATTAAAAGCATATGGCATCTATCTTTTTCATACGTTTCTGTTGATTTTGTTCGCTTATTTTTATATTCTGTACATTGAATACAACGACGATGGATACACCTAGAAGAGAATGAATATTTAATTTTTTTTAGAAATATAAATTTCATTGTTCTCAATCAACTAACAATCACCTACAATTTTTCTCTTCGATTTAATTGCATGCAGAAATTTCATACATAACAATTTTATGCTTAACTTGAGAAAAACTTTTGAAAATACTTATAAAAAAGGAAGAGAACCCATATCCACAGTCTGTTAATTTACATAAAACAACTTTGGATTGATTAACGGTTTCGAACAGTAAATGCTATAAAAGTTCGAAGGGATATGCGAGATTACATTGCCCTCTAAAATAACATTACGTCATTATACATTGTTATTGCCCTATATAATTGTTAACGTTTTTTCAAAATTTCTCCTCTTTTCTATTTTCTCTGTACAAAAGCATACAAACTCGGAGAGTTTCACTATATCCGCAGCGTAATGAAAACTTGGGATGTGCCCGGCAACGTGGATCATACCCAAAATAGTATTTTGAATGGATTATTATATCTATATTCCATTTGTAGAAGTTAGAGATGTAAATTACAAAATTTTACAATAATATAACCTTGCGCATAATTTGCATTCGCTGATTAATGTGTAAATTTTCTAGCATCGCATTACAGAAAGTTCATCAAACCTCAATATTTATTTTACAAGATTGCGCGCAATAATCATAAATTATAATTGTCATTAATAATTCATGATCGTGCGTTAACGCGGGAAAATTTCTGCTCTCTGCAAATTTCATATGCGCAACGCGTATATTGCGAAGCTAATCTTCGATAATAAATATATTTTGAGGTACTCGAAAGAGAAATCTCTCAGGCATATGTGATATAGGCCGCAAAGTAGTATTAGCTTAGTTTATACAAGATCTCGTTAGGCACGTTATACACACTTTCAAATTCCGAATGGAGTGACGCGATGCAAATGCGAATATTTTACGTGGAAATACATTTTATATGATTTGTGACATGTCGAGTATGCGATACTTTCCCATGCTGAATTCGTTCTACACGGCTAAGTTCAAAACAAGTGTATAAATTCTCTTTTATATAATTATATGATTATTACACTTCCATTTTCAAATAGAGTAGTCTTCACTTACAAATTACGCATTCAACAAGATTTAACAAAGTGAAGCGTATCATGGTCATCTCTCCAACCATGATACGTTTCACAGAAACATAAAAGATACATAATTATACATGGTGTCTCAAATCTTCCGCGTTTATCTTTTCTTTAAAGATCTTCAGTGTAAAAACGACTTTTCTTCAATGAAAGATGAAGGAATCAGAAACTTTACATACATCTCTCTTTCACGCACACACATACATACACTATAGATATATATATACACATTATATACATGTTATTTATCTTCTACAATCGGTCATTCATGCCAATGCACGCTTGCATTCATACTCTCTTTCTCTCCTAATCATATTCTTATAAATTTTAGTCGAGGAGAAAGGGCTCTGAGCCGTGACGAGATGTACGTGTCAAATTATAAAATAATTTATTGTTAAACTAGCATAAAAATTAAGAATTAAACGTTTCGGTCGAATTTTTGACCATCTTCAGTAAAATACAATAGTTTTATAATGTTGTACACGACATGCGTTGCAATATGTTAACCGTCACGACACTTTATAAAACTATTGTATTTTACTGAAGATGGTCAAAAATTCGACCGAAACGTTTAATTCTTAATTTTTATGCTAGTTTAACAATAAATTATTTTATAATTTGACACGTACATCTCGCCACGGCTCAGAGCCCTTTCTCCTCGACTGATTTATATCATACGAGCCTTTTGTCACATACTTATAAATTTTAATCATCAGTCTTCAGGCTGCAGTCTGTTAACAATTCTATTGTCACTAAGGGCATATTTACAGGAGTAGGAAGTCGTTTGCTTAAAAGAAGAGTCAGTTTCTTATAATCACGTCAAGCACTACACGATCTTGATGCTGACATTATCAACGTGTAGTTTCGACAGTGTCTTTTTGACGCGAAGAGCAGTTAAGCGAACTGGTGGATTTGGATGCCAACATTCCGACATTATTTTGCTTAGTGCATATAGGACCTGCGAGGAAAAGAGCGATTCGTTATTCGATCCGTTAAAATAACAAGAGATAGCTAAATCAGATGTTTGCTCGTCTTATTGAAGTGTCTTTCTTACCGTATCGTTATCCCATCTCGTTGGAATAACTGGACGTAATCGTTTCACGCAGACTACCAGGCGCATGTCGTCGAAGCTCGGATCGGCTGGTACGACGTCGTGATAAGGCAAGGCGTAAGGCTCCACCATAGAATTCTTACCACCTGTGACACACCTTCTGCACGCTTCCCAAAACACGAGACCGACAGAATACATATCTGCCATTTTGAACGCGTCGAAGGAAGATGTATTCAGGACCTCGTCCAACACTTCCGGTGCCATGTAACGCCGTGTGCCCACTCGAGCATTTGGCGCGATATCGATCTCTCCGCTCTCGCTGTAAAAAGACAAATTTATCACTCTCAATTTGCATTCTAAGAGGAATACTAATGGCAAAAGGCGCATATTTAGACCTCGAGCATTGAACGTTTGCGTACCTGATGTAGCGAACGGCCAACCCGAAGTCAGCTATGGCACATTCTCCATTTCTCTTAACTAAAATATTTCTGCTCTTAATGTCTCTGTGAGCTATCGCGGGTTTCCCTTGCGTACCGAAGATCTCGGTGTGCAGGTGCGCGATACCAGACGCGATCGACGAACAGATCGCTAGCAAGGCTTGATGATCTAATACAGTCGTTTGCAGGTAATCGTGCAATGAACCTCTCTCGTGATAATCAGTGATCAACAACATCTGGGTCCAAGAGCCGGTTCCTTTGATATCAGCGGCAATGAAGCCTAGGATATTATCATGCCTCATGAGGACGGTTTGGTAGATCTCAGTTTCCCTGAACCAAGACGCCTCCTCCAACGTAAAGAAAACCTTCACCGCCACTTTTTCACCGCCTCGCCACCTGGCGAGCCATACCTCGCCGTAACGTCCCTTTCCCACGCACTGCGACATGGCTAATTGCTTCGCGATCGTCTGCTGTACCAAGAGTGGCAATCCCGAGCCTGATCCGCTGCTCTGATCTATAAAGTCCCTGAGGGTTCCTTGCGACGGCACCAGGCATGGGTCTCGCTCTTTCTTCCGGCATTTGTGATACACGATCACTATCGCTATCGAGATGATGACAAAAAGCACTAACAACGCTACCGTCAGGACGATCAGCGGCGCTTCCGGTTCGATGTCTATCGGATTGGTATCCGCGGTAGGACGAGGCTTGTAAATTATTTCGGGGAATTGATCTTTGTTGCACAAAGCTGTATGGTTACAGCACATTATGCTCTTCTCTTGTAAGTGAGGAACTTGATTTCCCTTGCACTGCATGAAGCCTCCCTCGGCGGGCGGCAAGCAGCCGAATGACCACTCGGGAACGTATTCTCCCAGCTCGGGCTCCCACACCTCCTCGACAGCGCTGAAACATTGGCCTCCAGCTCGCAGCTCGCAGGTCCCATTTTGTCTGCCGTCCGGGCAATGTCCGTCGCAGTAGCAAAGAATGCCCAACACTGCAACAAGGCACCGTCGATGGTATTATTAGACACCGCCGATGTGAATGAATCAATGTTAGAAGAAATACGCAAGACTCTAATATTAATCGTGTCATTCAAACATTTTATTTTTAGATCACGCATGTGATTCCTCCAAGATTAATACTTGTTTATAAGCGAGCCAAGAGTGGCCAAGTGGGGAAAATGCGTCGCCGCAAAATTAGGTGAACGTTGCGTTGCGCGAGGTGCGGTGAATAACTTAATGATAATCGATACGAAGAGGGGCGAGACTAGGCGCGGAGTTGAACGGATTCGAGAGGCTGCTCGACAAGTCACGAGATGTGTCGTGTAGGCGAACGACCGTCGTCGCGTCCCACGGAGAGGCGTGCACCACCACAGAGAGAAAGGAGTGGTAGGTGCGTCCCGACTCGGAAATCGGGGGATATCCTTCATAAGCGATTCCGCACACAAGTCGGTATAAAATATCGGGGACCGATAATCCTCTAGCCGGTTCTAAATTTCGCGATCAGCGTCACGCGAGGATCGTATATTAAAAACATATCACCCTGTTGGATCGTCAACGGACGGAAGGAAAGTGATAAGATAACAAGATGGAAAACTAGGGGCAAAGTTTTACTCGACCATAAATTAGATTATGAAGTCAACAAATTTTGATAGATGTATAGTACGTGCTTTCAGCTTCAAGATTCCATGTATTTATACGAACAATATACTCTCTAAAACTGTCTCTCTAATATTGAAAATTTCACTTGAACAATGGTGTCACTGACCACTTCATTCTATTCGAGTGAATATTTACTCTAATAGAGTGAATTAATTATTATATATATATATATAAAATAATAAAAAATAATAACACTCTAAAAGTGAAAAAGTAAAGAATTTCAATTTTATTTTTAAAAGTGATAAAAACTGATAAAAATGATCTTAATTAAAAAAAATATTACTTTACTCAAGAAAATTATTCATTAGGTGGCTCCTAATCGCTTATTAACTTAAATTTAAAAAATAATAAACAAATTAAAACATGCATTGCTTTAAGAATTTATTAAATATCAAAGAATAGATAATTTTAAATTTAAAAATTTTTATTTTAATTCTATAAAATGTTTACTAAGATGTAATTTTCACAGCGAAGAAAATTGGATTTCTTGTTTAACAAAAACAATGATTTTATTTAATAAATAGTATTGACAGTCAGCTGAATGAGCGAAGATGTCACATAAATTATAGATTTTCAGTACTGACTGTGAATATTAGAATACAGCTTCTATATGCAATGATCATAGTGAACATACAATAGTGAAGCTCTTGTCCATAAATTTTATACTGCTAACAACAATCGAAAAACATAGCACTCTTTCAAAAAGTGAGGTTTCACTCCATTCGGACTGGCGGTATTTTCATTATTTTTTCACCCCAAAAAGAGTGAGATTCCACTCAAAAAAATTTAGAGAGTAATTAACGCGAAACTTTTCATCATAAAGAAGAAAGAATTCTTCTCAGACCAATAATTCTAAAAATGTTTCCATTGTTGTACTATTCGTGTTTGACCGCGCTTAAAATCCAAAGGTCTATTTATCAAATCTCAATTACGATTTGCAGTGACGTAAAGCATCCAGAATTAGCTGTGACTCCGAATCGAGCCTGACAAGCCGCGAAACCGGAGGAACTGCAACGAGAGCATCCGCCTTCGTCACGGTGGCCGATAACGGCGAATTCGATGCAAACACGGTGTCACGTTTCTGACGACTGTGCGAGCGTCGCGACGGCCGCGACGGGAGACGCAAAAGGAGAAAGAGGAAGAAAGCACCCGAGACGCGCCGCGGAGGCTGTGCTTATCTACCGCCGCGGAATTACTCTCGCGCGCGTCTATTTTACGGTGACCGCTCTATTTATAACCCGCGCGAATATCTGGATGATGGATTCGATTCTTCGCGCGTTCTGCGTCCGTTCCACCGCGCACGCCTTCTCCTCCTACCCTTCTTCTCTCGCGGAGGGTGCCGCGGAATCTTTTAATTTTACCATCGCTCAAAAACAAAAGATCTTACAACTGCAGCAACAATGTTCTAGATACGAAAAAAATGACTGAGACATAAATTGCCAATACTGCGAAGTCACGTATGTTTTGTATTTAATCAATTTAAATAACAGAATTTCTATCTCAACTGTTAGCGAATGTCAGGAAGAAAGTCTTCGACGCGGATCCATTATAACGTTTGATCGTGGTACATAAACAGTTATATTCCTTACAAAGATTGCTATGGTACTGAAATTCATTTTTATCCAATGCAAATGATTAATCGTATTTAGTCATAAAATCTAAATTGTCCAGGAGGTATTATACTAGAATGCTGCTATTAATTTTGTAGGCTACAATTTTCTAACAGATACACAAATTAGCGATAAATTTGTGTCGCAACACTTAGAAATTTACCTGCTTTAGTAAGATATTTTTTTAGCAATTAATTCCGAATAATTTTATAATGCTGAAGATCTCAAGGAAGGTCGAGAAACGTTTGGTTCTTGAATACTTTTCGTATAATTTTTCTGACTAATTTCTAATGCGATATGTCTCGCTTCTTTAACAATTACGCTGTATTATAATCGAAATTTGAATGTATTTGCGTTATTATTTTATTAAGCTCCTTGATCCGTTAACTACGTTTATCTTATGAGTCTATTGACTCCACAGTTTATTTTTAATTCCGAATAATTGATCTATGAATCTGGCGCTGAAAGCTGGTGTCGGGGATTTGGGCAAAATGAAACGTGAGACCGAAATAGCGATAATCCGCCTTTTCCCTTTGGTTCAGAGTTCCTTCTAAGAAATCTACATTTGATCGACTTGCACGATAATCTCGAGTTAGTGAAATTCGACCTGTAAGTTGCAGAAACATACCGTGATTGTGCCTCTTAAAGAAGACAAGTAAAGATATACAATATAAACGTGAAAGCAAAGAACTCGAGTGTCTCAATGGCCGCGACTCGCTTATCCTTGCGTATCTGAAAACGAACCGTAAACAGCCTCGCACAGAAAGTATTTTTCCACATCAACAACGTTCTGTCAACGCGCACGATCGTCGAACGGATACCATCGCCGCCGAGGCTGGCGATTAATGATCGCGGTGCGTGGGGAAATATATCTGGAAAAAGAATCGCGCCCAAGTGACACTTAAATCGCGATATCGATCTCGACCTTATCTAGATGGAGACACTGACTGGTTTAAGAACAGGAACTCTACAGACAGACACTTTACAAAATTCGTCAAAACTGAGCACTGCTTTTAAGGGACAAATTTTAGCATCTTAGGCCCGATTTCACCAACGTCGCTTGACTTTAAGCTTTTAATTCGTTCGTTATATCTTTCCAACTGTCACTTTAGAAAGAGACACACTAAGATTAAAGTTAAGCGACGTTTGGTGAAACCGGGCCTTAAACTGTCTTGAATCAAAACGTTCTTTCAACATATCTCAAAACATATTTCATGTTATGCTACGCGAAGGGAATTTTTTTTTAATTTATCCTGAAATTTATATAATCGCAGGAGAACACGGAATTTCAACGAATTTTGGGAGTTTTTGAAATTTTACTAGTAAAATGTATGGTAAAATTTAAAAAAATTCACAAAGTTCTTCAAAATGCAAAAGGGAAAATTCTCTCCGTGTAGTCAATAGATTTTAGTTAATTAATATACGACCTGTTAGCATATTAACTTTACATTATGTAAACAATCGAGGCAAATCGTGTCCTGCCTAAGGTTCTATCAAGACGGCTCCAATGAGAGTGTGAAATCTCGAGATATATCCTGAAAAATTCGGGACGGTCACTTCACTCAGAAGGCTCCTTAGACTCTGCATCAGGCTGTGCACTGGCGACCGAGCATCGCGAACTGACGATTGCAATTCGACCAATAAACTTTAATCTTAATTTGTTTTGTCCGAATTGGCTAATCTTCTGTCTGTAATTCTCAATCGCCAATGCGTAGCCCTGATACGGACTTGAACAATCGGGCGTCCCCGTGCGTGCGCTTATCGGCTCGACCGCCACTGGCGAGAAAAGCCGTAATGAACTGTTTAGAAAACTGTCGTGTACACGCGAGTGTGTGTACGAGCTCGCGCGATCGGCCGAGAGGCGTTAACGCGCATATCTGCTTTCGTGCGGCTTTCGCGACGCAATCGGCGTCCGTAATCGCACGAAGGTTTCAATGAATCGCGCGAGGCGACGTGCCAGCTAGCCTGCGGACTTTATCAGCGTGGCAAAGAGCAGTATCAGCGATAGCCCCGCGCGTCTATGAGTCGCGCCGAGGCCCGCCGGCGGCTCTAGAGACGCGGCGCAGCTCTATTTCGAAACTTGCACTTCTTGTTTTTCTAATTAACGTTGCTCTCTTCGTGACGTCGTAGAGACAATCGGAAAAGTTACAGATCGGAGATATTTCGTCACGAGTTATCCCCGGAAAATTGACCGATAAACGGACGAGCGTTACCAAAAACAGGTACCGGGGCGATTGTAGCTTATCGCGGATAACAAATTGGTTGTAGCATTTATGCGAGTGGAAAAAAAACGGTTGCGTAAATATTGAACCTGGGCTAACTCGCGGGAGTTGATTTTGGTTTGTACGAGAGGACGTTGATACGCGCCATATCAACTGTGAAAGTTATCCCTTATCTCTCCCTTATCGCATTATCAACATTTAAAGTCGGTTAATAAAAGATACGTGCGATTATGGGGGAGGGGATCCTGTGTTTCCGCTTGATAAGACGTTAAAGTATCGCCGATAGTGTTGTTAATAAAAAATTAATAAAAAAGAAGAATCTTCGAGATCTCCGATCTTATCGTATCTTCATACATAAATCCATAATATTTGGCATGTATCGTTCATTATCGCGATGAGACTTAACTTGAGTCAACGGCACACGATACTATTTTTCCTACTAGATTCCTTGCAAGAGCCAACGAGGATGTAGATCAGATGACTCGGGCCCGGTTTCACCAA